TTGCTCCAGTAGCGCCCAGAGCGGCGCTACGGGACCAACTGACAGTGCCCCAGCTGCTGTACCACAGGCGTTTGGAGCAAAGCCACGGAGCTCGCGGGCAGCGGGACAGCCCAGACGCGCCGCGGCTGTCCCGCTGCCGGCGTCCTCCGAGGCTTTGCTCCCTGTCTCCCTGGTCTGCTGGAGACCAGCAGACGTGGAGCAAACCCCATTCATAACTGCGGATCCGACATAAGTCGGATCCGCGTAACTCGGGGACTGCCTGTAATTTATCTTTTCCAAAAATGCAGAGACCACCCACACTCTATATTGTTTTGGCTCCCAAGTCTCTACTACAACCCTTTTGAACATGGTCCTGTCTTCTTCTCTTGAGTTCCTACAAGAAACTAACTATATACCTCTGGGCCTTTCTAAAGAAGCAGAATTACCCACGTTGTCTCAATTCCTGTGACTGCTTACTGATGCAAGAATGACTAACCTAGTTCAAGCTGGACTTTGTGTGTCCACTGAAAATTGTTTTAAGAGAATGGCCAACTGTTAACCAGAAGAAGCCAGTATTATGAAGTTAAGTTAGCTTTGTCTGCCCATCCTGGAACAGAGCAGTGGCCATTTATTTCAGTATCCCACGTGAAGTCAATAACACCTGCTTTAGAAGCAGGTGCAAGCAACTCTGAAAGGGGAAACTATGGAATTACCCTCCCATTATCAATCCTTCCTTCCTAACCCATCAGTGAAAAGCTGACTTAAATCCTGGGAAGGGTTTATATCCCTTTCAAACTTAACAACATATAGCTTATGTAATTGTCTATGTTCTCATTAAACACGTGTCCAAATTTTTTAGGCCTACAAAGTTTTTAAATTGAATGATTATCTTGTGGCAATGAGTTAAAACAGAATCAGTGGTCTATAAAAACAATTCCTTTTATCAGTTTGACTTCAGGTTCACTGAGATTCTTTTAACTTTTGTATTGTGATGAAAGGTACACAGGAGTGCCTGAATCATGCCGTCCTTGGCAGGAAAGGGAGGAAAATAAACTAATCTTCACCCTTCCAGTGACAGACACTGAAATCCCACCCCAGATTTAGCTGAGCAGCTTCCTTTACATGAGTGCCTTGCACAGAAAGGAAAAAGAAATGGGAATATTTTCTTCTACTCAAAAGGTGGGCTGGCTGGCTGAAATGCTGCAGAGAACATCCATTCATCCATATCTCAATATTAAAGAGGGCCTCTCAGCATGAAGATGTTAAGTGGAAAAATAAACTTTTTGGAAAAGATACAGGAATTCCTAACCTCTCCATTTAATGAGTTCAGTTGTCAAGGATTTCTAAATTAAACAAAAAGAGGAGGTGGGAAGAAGTTTCTTTGTCATGAAGTCCTAAATATCTGTCTTCTAGGAGCCTAAAAAGTAAAGCTCATTTTCATAACTAAGAAAATTTAACATCAAAGAATACATCTTGCGGGGATACTGTTGAAGAAGTTGCAACACGTTTCCTGAAAATGTACCATAGGGAAATACCCTGAATTGACAATAATGAGTCAGTGGTGTAATGAAAGCTGGTTTCAATCAGAGGCAAGGTGTCTAGAAAGTAAACTTAATTGAGCAGGTCTGGGACACAAAAGCTTACAAGAGAAAGAATTTTATGTGCCAAAGAAACATATGCATATTACCAAACATTCTGTTCTCTCTGACACAGGGGCAACAAGTACTGAATGCACCAGAGAATTTTAAGAAGCCCTAAGATGTATTCATAAAGGGCACTACCAATAGCTTTTTACCTGGGTTTCCTGGGGAGCTCCTTTATCTTAGACCATGGTAAAAAAAAGATGACTACCAGGGTAAAATGGAAGGGAACAGAACAGAAGAAAATGAAACCCAAAATGCAAGAGAAGCAGAAAGAGAAGGCCTGGAGTCAGACAGCAAAGACTTGGGAAGAGCTGAAGCCAAAGCGACACTGGACCAAAAAACTGCACCAGAATTAGACATACCGCTAAGACTGACCAACTGCAATCAAAATAATAAGGCAGATGGAGTAAGGGCCATTTTTCCTCTAAAGAGAGGGAATACAAGAGCTCTATTCTCCTTGGAAGAGTTCTCCCCCAAAAAAGCGTCCTTCAAAGAAAGCAGCATATTAATATAGAAAGCGTTGCAGTGCAATATTTCTTAAAAATTCCTGAGACAATGGAAACCTGTACAATCAAAGTAGGATCAACAGACCATATTTAGTTTTGCTCTTCTCTAGTAGCCATCTCCTAATGCTTTTTACCAATTACTAGAGGAAAAGTTGGAACTGGATTAAAAAAAGTGGGATAATGAATCCATGATTTCAGGAGGACAGAAGAAAGAAAAACTAAAGGACTGAGGAGCAACATTTCCTCTAATCTTTTCCTTCCATATGTGGATTTTTTTCCATCTATTGTGGGATACATTTTATATGTGCACTGAGGCATGTGAATGTGCACTACCAGTAGAAATAAAAAATACATAGATGTGGGCACTCTGCCAATCAGCTGGGTGGCATGTGAATCTATTCTGAGTGGTCACAAAAGTGCACAACTTACAGGGAATACTGCTGAGGAGTCTTGCTTTTATATACTCTTCTTTTCATTCGTCTTTTCTTCTGTGCTTCTTGGTAGATGATCCCATAACACAGAGAGAGTGGAATTTTTCATAAAATGAGGATATTGTGGGAAAAGGAGCACAAGAACAAAGTATGGTTCCATGATCCTGTCCTGTATATGCTATAGGACTATGTCTGGGGTTTCAAATGTTTTATTACAAAATGAACTAAAAATATTAAGCTGCTTAAATCTAGCTACTTTCAGAATTGCAAACAAAAAAAAGCCCCTTTATTTCAGTTATAGTATTGAAAACATACCAACCAATTCTGCTTCTGACAGTGATCAATATCAAATGTTTCAGAGGAAGTGACAAGACCAATAAACCCAATTATCGGGAAAACTATCCATTTAAAGAGTTACTTCCCACATCCTATCAGTTAATAGCGCATATCCTGATATAGGCCCAAGAAAGAAAAGGATCACATGATCTATCTTCTGCAGTACCTTGTGGATCACCAAATTCATGTCCATATTACTTAAATGTTGGAGAAATGTAAGTCTAAGCTGAATGAAAATAATATCACCTAAAGATTTATAAGACAATTCAGTATCTATTTTATTTAGTGCTATGCTGTACAAAAAGCCAAAAGCTAAGTTCCTTTTAATTAAGAGAGGCAGTTGAACATGCATTTTTGACTTCCTAGTTAACTATTTATTTGTATAATCTTATTCTTAATGTCACTAGTATAGGTTGAAACTCCATAATCCCTAGTTCCCTAGTCCGGCAACACCCCGGTCCGGCATTGTCAGGGATAAACCAGCGGGTTCAGACTAGTACTGTTTCCAGACTAGAAGGCCTAGAGCACGGGTTCCCAAACTGGGGGGCGTGAAGAAATTTCACGGGGAGTGTGAGGTGACCCACCCCTTCCCCTTAAGTTTTGCTGCTCAACAAGTTTTGATGCTATTGGAGGGGTGGGGGAAGGGGCATGAGGGTTTCTCAAAAATCAAAAACTGGGCGTGATGCCAAAAAGTTTGGGAACCACTGGCCTAGAGAGTGGAGTCCCAGGTGGCAGCAGCCCTTCTCCACCCCCCAAGTGGCAGCATGGGAGCTGCCATAGAGAGCCCTGAGCTCCAGGCAGCAATGCGCCCCCTCCTCCCCAGAGAAAAGCAGAACCACGGGGGAAAAGCAGTGCCTCCCACCTGTAGGGAGAAAGCAAAACTGTGGAGAAAGGGGCTCTGCTTCCTGAACCCCCCTGTCTGCTGTGGGGAGGGCAGAGATCCTAGTGGCAGGAGGACAGCAAGGAGGAAAAATGGAGTCCCTAGTGCACTGAACTCCCATGGTCTGACAAATTCCCAGGTTCAAAAACTGTCAGGTCCCAAGGGTGCC